AAAACTTTGGTTTTTCTCATATAAATAACATCCTTTGTTTTGTTAATGGTCTTTATAAATCTGTTCATGCATTTTTGTCATTTTGTTAATGAAATTATATACTGTAGATTATATAATATGTAACAAAGTACGTAAGTGTTCAACATAGTTTTCATCCTGTACTTTCATATTTAACTTGAATCATCTATATTTTCATAAGGTATCATGCAGTAAGCTATTTTTTTGAAATAGCCAGTTATTGCATCATAATTACTGAAAAATCCATCCCATCTGTATTAATATGAAATGCTGCTTTCATAATATTTGTGTAACTGTTTGACTTAAAGAATAGTTAGATTCTGTTAGGGTTAAAATTATTCCTTGAAATACTCTTCAGCCTACTCGTGTAAAATGCTCTAACAACGGTGTTCTAGCAAACATACAAAATGATTGGACCTTTCTCTATGGTAAATTCTTAGAAACCTTGTGGCTCATTATTTATATGGTACAAATCTTTATGGCACACATGTAGCATCTATAGGGTACAAATCTTTAATATACATGTAGCATTTCTTACACAAAATGAAATGAATCTGACACATAAAAATGAAAATGAATGAAAGCATTCCTAAGTGTAAGGTATTAACTTATAGGATTTTAAAGGACTATTACTGAACAGTAGCTATAAAAATTCATATAGACAGGATTTATAAACATATATTAAACCAAAAGATCCCCAAATCACTCCCTTGGCACTTATTTTTGTTTACTCTTACGTGATATAAGTTAAAATAGTACTTGACTAAGATACTTTCACTTATGTCACTATCGCTCATTTCAGGAAAGAAGAAATAACAGGACGCAGATCCCACAGCATTTAATAAGACATAAAGTTAGCAACCCGTTACCTTCACTCTTTGTCACAGTTACCCAGACTTCCTGCAGACTTTATTCTGTGCAGTCTGTCTTTGTGGCCAATGACAAGTGAAACATGGAGGCTGATTGGTTGAAGGACATGGAAGGGTATGGATGGAAAGGGGAAGAGAAGTTCCAGCCACAGGGACACGGTGATTAGAAGATGGCCAATAAAATGTCAACTTACCAGACCCAACTAAAACAAAACAAAAAGAAAACATGGAATAAATAAAAATAAGGAAACATAAAATGAAACAGAAAAAGTCATAAGATTTGACTCCACAATGATATTTCTTTTCACATAAAGAACACGTTAACATTTGACTACATGGTTCACCTTATCTATGAATGAACATTTGTTAGCATTTTAAGGATAATCAGGAATAATTTAAGAAAACTAAAAATGAATCTTAGAATATTCGCTATGATTAAATGGTAGAGCTACAATGAATGATGGCTATAAAATTATAAAACATTCAGTGACTTTATAGTTTGCTACCAGATGACAGGCTAGAAAACTATACATGTAATGGGTTTAAGAATACTATAAATCTTAGCGGCAAAGGCTGTACGAGAATCAAAATTGAGCATCTTAATCAAAGATAAAGAAGTGTTAAATCCTATAACTCCATCTTCAGCTTAATTTTCTTTTTTTTCCCATTCAAATTTCCTTTATTATTTCTTATAGCATAACTGTGTACATTAATGCAATCATGGGGTACAGTGTGGTGTTTTCATATACATTTTGAAATACTCTCATCAAACTGGTTAAATTAGCCTTCATGTCATTTTCTTAGTTATTGAGCCAAGACATTCATACTCTGCCTTTAGAAAGATTCACCTTTACCCTTGTAGGATGAACCATAGAGGTGACCCCATCAATCACCCTCCCTCCACCCACCCACCTACCCTCTCCCACCCCCCTTCCCATATTCTAAGGCTATAATTAGGTTATTACATTCCTATGAAAACTATGTACACAGCCGTATTTTGAAACTAATTCAGCTTAATTTTTTAAAGGTTTCTGCTGCCAATGATATCCTACAGACCCATGCTTCTCATACATTAATAACCATACACATCACTCCAAGATCTGGTCAAAGTATAGATTGCATAGGTCAAGGGTATGACCTGAGATTTTGCTTTTCTAACAAGTACCCAGGTGGTGCTGGTCCAAGATCCTAAGTGGAGTATAAAGTCTATTAAAAGGTGTTGCATTTAAATATTGGCCTTTAAAAGAAAAACTGGCATATTTTGGATTGAGAAGATGCAGAGAAAAGTGCAAATAAATTACAAGAACAGAGAATATTTTATTAACCTTATCTATAAGTCATAAGCATAATACATTTCTTCAATGCTGCAACAATAAGCATTTTAATATAGAAAGCTCAAGTAATACACCCTTAAATACTGGAAAACAATTATTTTGTTATTTCAGAAGCAAATGTAATTACTGTCACATTAGAAACCTGCACTACACTTCACTAACATAAATAACCCCCGCATCTTTCAGCAAGTCAAAACTGATTAGACTTGACACACATTCCTGTTGTTGAAACAAATGCTAAAAACGGCTTCCGTGAAATGGTACGGCTATAAAATAGAGGGAAAAAGTTCTCTTGCATATTTTTGCCACATATGCAAAATTTAATGATAATTAAAAAATACATGTTGACTCATATGGGCCCTTCAACACGACAGAAATATTTGTCTTTAGTTTCCAATCTAAAAAAAGTATTTAAGAAAAATTTTCACTCATTCACGTTAAAAAATTGAAAAAAAAAATGACAAAACTTTCTCATTACTCAGACTTAATGCTGATTACAGCATCTCCAGCTGTGCTATCCAGACCCTGAAACCCGGACTGGAGACCATACGGTCACATTTCCTGGTACCTTAAAGATCATCTCTCTTAAACCAATACAAGAAATATTTAGGAATCACGAGAGAATGAATCTGAAACAACTGTAGTACTAGAATTTTCTTTGAGACCAAAAAAGTTGTGAAAGTGCCTTTTGGACTAATCTATGAAGATAAATTCGATTTCATTAGATTGAAACCGTTGAAATGAAGTTCTTTAAAGTCAGGAGACTACAGAAACGATTCCTAAATATTTTCAGTACTTTAAAATTCCTTAAACATTTCAAAAAATATACAATATATTAAAACCAAGAAAATTGCTGGGAAGCAGCTCAATTTAAAATTAAAAAAATATCCTTTTCTTACTAATAACTTTTACTGGGAATCAAACCATAGGAGCAAAATCTTTTGATTAATTACAATCCTCGGAGTAGTGTATTTGCATATCACATCTATGACAAATGATAATTGAAAAAAATAGTTCTTTCAGGATCTTAACAGTTATCTAAGAACATCGTCTAAGATAGAAGCCTCTAAAACATCAGAGGTTTCTGAGAGGACTGTATCTTGAATGATCACCTAAGTTTTAAACAACCATGATTATCAGAAATGCCTCTTATCTAAATGCAAACCTCTTTGTGTACCCCTTTCATTTGTTCGAGTTTCGGTACACAAATAAAAGCCTGTCATAAAATCATTTTACTCACTGGAAGAAAATTTCCATCCCTAACTTTCTCTGCTAAAGAATAAATCACAAAAATGTAAGTTTTCCTCCTATTTCCCCTTTCCCTGCATTTCTTCAGCTTTAAAGGTCAAGAGTACCTCTGTCCCAACTACTTTTTCTCCCTAAGAAAGAGGAAAAGCCTGTCTGTCTCTGTCTCTCATAAAACAATAAAACTATAAAATGTTGCTGGAAGTGGCCTTAGAACTTATCAGTCTAACCTTTTTGCACAAGAAAACAGAGAACCTAAGTTGTTAAATGACTTTCTCAGGGTCACAGATGGTTAACCAAAGACTGGCTCCCAAGCCTCCTGAATGAAATCCAGGTCTCCATACAAATTTTCCTACTGGTTAATCAGTGGAGAACTATATGCCACAGAATGAAAAGCATACTTGATTCTGCATTTAGACTATCATAGACAGTTGTTTAACCTAAAAATTATTACTACCGAAAACGTTAATATCTACCTATATGAAAAGAACTTAAAGACCTTTTCTCAGGATGTTAGCAATCTTGTAAGAATATTTAGGTCTAGTTTTACAAAGCCATGAAAACTAATAAGTGATAACAAAGCAGACTCAGAGCTGTTTGATGCTTATTTTTGCTATAAATAGTACTATAATCATTTTCTTAATGTGAATGAATTTTAATCATTTTATCACTTGAAGTTATTATAAAATGAATAAAAGAGTAATCGTTTTGAAACATGAAAACAATATGTTTTCAAAAGTACCTTTTTTCAAGAGTGTTTTTACGAGAGTACCTTTTAATTAAATACAGCAAGTAGGAACATAAAATAACATTTAAAAGTGGATACATATTTTTAAGAGGTTAAAATTTTAGCGGTATCTCCAGTAAGAGCTTTTATTTTATTTTTTTAATACTGGAAAGGCATGAGGAATTAGGAAACTTGCCATGAGGCTGAGTCTGTAGAGAATGCCTGTTTTCACCTAGATTAGATTTTGAGTGGAAAACAGGTAATGACGCAAAGTTTAAAATACAGATCAAGTATATGAAAGTTATATGATACATACAAATTGTATAATTATAAAATTCTCTGGTGCCTTTTGAGGATAAAAGTTAAAAAGGAGTGCTATCTTTAAAAATACCAGAAGATATAAAAAACATTACACACGCGTACACACACACATGCCTCTACAACGTAGAAAACTAGTTCCTTATTTTTATTTGAATGTGACATCCAAGTGCCCCATATGATTTATTTAGTTTAAAATCTTCTGCCTTCTAAGAGTGTACATTGCTAAGACAATAGTCTTTGGGTATAAATAAGAAGGTAAGAGAGAACGGAAGAAGGAAGGAAGAAAAGAAGGGAGGGAGGGAGAGGGGAGGAGGAAGGAAGAGGATTCCTTTACTTCTTCTATCTGCTTTCACAATCGGGAGACATCCATGAGTCAGAAGAACAGCAAATGTTTGAAAATAAGCTACACGGAAGCTGGAGGAAAAATTTTTTTGGACTAAAGAAAATAATTTAGCTGAACAGACACTTAAGAAGTCTTCAGATGGAGCCTAATAAATATAAAAACCAGCCAGACTTGATAATGACTGAGGCCAGAGGAGAAGATGACAACGGACTTAAATAACAGTAGTAACAACTTAAATTGTAAAAAAGAAGCAGTTAACAGCAAAGGTCACTGAACCATGAATTGGTTGCCAACTGGGATGTCTTCAAAGGTCTTTACAAATGGGACTTATTTCCATTTGGCCATAACAATTCACATATAACACTGTCTGGCAAAGGGAGAGAGAAGTTGAATCTGAAAGTGCTTTCTGTGGCATAATTTTAACAGTAAGGACATTCAGAGGCATTTAGTTTTTACAAAATGTAATGAGAGAATGACACAGTATCTCTGTGTAAAATAATTTAAGTATTCTAAACATTTAGAATGATTCTGTAGACTATACTTAAGCAAGTTTATCTATGGTAGAACCAATCTATTAACAGATAGCAGAGAAGGGCAGCTTTCTTGATGGGCTAAAATGAAATCATTTTGGCTATAGAATTTTTATGGTAATTCATAGGTATTAATTTTCACTGTAAGTAGCTAAATTCTAATGAATCCTTAAATTGATGGGTTTTTTTTTTTTAATTCTCATCTATGTTTTTTGAATGAAGAGCCCAATGAATAAATCTGACAGGCAAGAACTGTAAATACCTCATTCCAGAAGAATATGAATGGAGTGAGTTGCAAAATTGGGGGAAAAATACATTTTTATTATTTTTACTAAAAGAGAGGAATACTCAAATTCTCAAGTAGCAAAGTGAGCTTTCTTTGAACTGACAAAACCAAGCCCTAGTATGTGGGAGAAATTATATGCATAGATACTCATGAATGATAATATCTCTAACAATTAAAAGACTCTTAGAATATTTTAATACTAGGTATGATTTCTTTTTGGGAAAAAGATTGAGTTTAACATAAAAGCCTGTCATTATGTCTTTCAACTTTTTAGACTTAAAGATACACACCAAGGTGGGGGGCACTTTTAGAATATGCTTAATGGATACATAAAATACTATGAACTTTTCACCTCCACTCAAACATCTCACATTATGCTGTAGAACAATGATTCTGAAGATGATTTCGGTTGCTACA